TTAGTCTCGATGGGTACTTAAATCATAAATGTGATCAATGTTAGCAGATATAATACCATAATTCAAAACATAAGCAAATCTATTTTATGCTCATTAATCCATAAACTATAATCAATAAATTCAATTTATGACATCTTTACAACGTATCAACACAACATTAATATCAAGTCTTTGGACAGTAATACTAACTTGCAAGAGATATCCTTGTTTTAAAGATAAACATTGACAATTAAATCATGTCAATAAACATGGAATAAAAAAATTCATCATATGTTTATCACCACGTATATGTTTATTCGGCCAACTATCAATCTACCTTTGAGTCGGCTAATACCCGCATTAATAAACACATAAACTATAAATTTTAATAATAAGAATTGACAATATATCATGTAAATTAATAAACCCCTCTTTGGATTGACTTATTAATGACGTGTAACCTAAAAGTTGTCACATATTTATCATCAAACATGTATTTATCGGCCAAATATTAACCTACCTTTGGGTCGATTAATATCCGCATTAATAAACACAAACTATAAAATTTAAGTTCTTAGTAAATTAATTTTCACAAAAGAGATTACTTTGGCGATATATTGTGTCAATTAATTTACTCTGAAAATAAATAAATATGTCATAATTGTAGTTTATTGACAATTAACCTAAAATATTTTAAATGTGTCTACCTTTAGGTCGAACACGGTTCACATAAACAGTATCATATAAAACTTTAAGTATTTACAACCAAATTGATTAAAATAATAGATGTCACTTTGGTAACAATATTATATTAATCATGATATTTATAAGCAAAAATATTCTTTATTGGTTTTTATATAAGAAATCGCAACAATAGCAAAAATCAACATTATCAAAATATGAAGATTTGTTGCAACGAATATATCGGAGGAATTTAAAACATCTCAAAAACACTATAAAATGCTTGAACTTAAATGAAATGTAATGTGATATCCAAAATTCCCATTTTGTTATTTGACCATTTAGAATTTATTTTCTAACAACCAAAATTTGATTTCATCTCTTGTTTCAAATTAAAGCCATGTGTGATATAACATATTCACGTGAGTGGTTGTATAGTCCCCAAAAAAATGTCGGCATCCAAACATTAACCTCATATAGGGACTAAAAAAAGAAGTTACTGCCGCTTAAAAAAGTCCTTAAAAATGAGTTGTACCATCTTTCACCCAAAATATATATAACGCATGGAAACTTAACCTTATGATAATGCAATACAATAATAATATATGCATATCCATGAGTCCCCAAAATAAAATAGAATTGATATACATGTGATCGCTTCCTAAATAAAACATAATGTTATTGATTTCGTTTTTGTCAAATTGATTTAAAAAAATCCATATAAATGACCATGTGATCACTTCCTGTTTCATTATCTTTATATTATCCCTCAATCAAATAATATAAGACAGGGGATCCATAATCAAAAGGTTTAATCGAATCAACGATATACAAAATAATATTAACCAATATATTAGTCCAGATTGGGTTTTATCTTGATGAAGATTTGAAAAAAAAAATCAAAAATTTATAGTCCACAAATTATATATAAATATATTCTTTAAATATACCGTATGTATCTAAAGTTTAGATACATGATAAAACCTCTTTATGGTCACTATTGTCTTTTTTTATTTTTTTATTAGACTTTAATAATCATAAAATCTTTTAATCAATTAAAACAATAAAGCTTTGATATTATTACTGGACATCCACAAATAAAGCAGTCAATTAAACCTTGGCTTGTAGTTTAAATCTCATAAGAGAAATACTTAAGCATCACAATCTGGTACCATCTTGCTTTCAAGCAAGAAAAGAATGACCGAAAAGAACAAGAAGACTAAGTTACATATACAAGTATGTTATAGATCAAATGTTAACAGATCTAAAAATATCCCAAAATTTTAATGGTTTCTAATCCAATCAAAATTTTCTAGTAACAGATTCGAGTAAGCTCTGATACTTATTGTTGGTTATTTTGATAACTAAAACATAAACGCAGAAGCATAAACTTTGGATCTTTAACTTCGAATCTGATTAAAAGAAATCTTATACATTAAAGAACGATTACATACCTGATTTCATTATGATCTGCAGATCTGAATAACTAGGGTTAGGTTTTCCATTTGATCTCAATAGCTCTCTCTAAAACCCATCAGCAAACCCTAAACGAATTTTCATTTTTATTTCATGTGTATTGATTTGCTACTACTCATCACATATATTTATAGATGGATATAACCCCTAATGTGAGAGATGGAAGGGATCTTGAGGATCTTGAGTCAAACCGTGAACTCAACCCACAAGATAAGTAAATATTCTATAAATCGGTCCATCAACAATTTATATTCTTACCATAATAAGTGGATTTAATGATAACATTATATATATATATATATATATATATATATATATATATATATATATATATAGAGAGAGAGAGGTAAGTTAAATTGAGAAAATAAAAAAGGTTGATAATGGGGGAATCATTCTCAATCACTCATTTATTTTTGCTGCAAAAGCTTCTGTCGTACAAGCGGAAATGGGAAAGGAATACATATGTGTTTTCCAATAAAACATGTTTCCTTAAACTAAGCTAATCATTATCTTAATATATATAAAAACATAGATTTTTTCGTTTTTTTAATTTTTAAGAAGCTATTTTTATCGAAAAATGATTTTAAATGTACCAAAATTCTTGATTTTTTATTCTCTACCAATAGACATCCATATTGATATAGTTTTAAGATAAAATATTTTTTTTTATATTTTCAGCTATCGTTATTCATAAATGAATAAAAATGTATCAGATTTTTATTACAGTACATTCATTATTCACTTATGAACAAAAGTATATGATTTAATTTTTTTTACAGTTTTAGTATCATTTATACTACTTATTCATATGTGAATAACAAATTAACTGTAACAAAAATCTGATAAATGTTTTATTCATATATTAATATAAAATATGACGACAACTAATACACGTTTTATTCATATATAAATAGAAATATATGACGAAAGATGATGTAAAAAATATATTTTAAGTACGAAAATTTTATTACGTGTCATATTCATATATAAACAACATTTAAACTATAAAAAAAGTTAAGCATACGTTTTATTCATAAGTGAATAACGAATGTACTGTAATAAAAATCTGATAGATTTTTATTCACTTATGAATAACGAGAGCTGAAATTCTAAAAAAAAAATTATTTTATCTTAAAACTATATCAATATGGATGTCTATTTATGGAGAATAAAAAATTATGAATTTTGATATATTTAAAATGATTTTTCGATAAAAATGAGTTTCTAAATAAAAAAAAAATTATGTTTTTGTATATATTAAGGTAATGATTAACATAATTTAAGTAAACATGTTTGGTTGGAAAACAAATGTTTATCCGTTATCCATTTCCGCCGGTACGATAGAGTGTTTTGCCGCAAAATAAATGTGTGACCGAGAATGATTCCCCCATTCTCAACATTTTTTTTTCTCAATTAAACCCCCCTCTCTCTTTCTCTCTCTTTTTCTATATATATATATATATATATATATATATATATATATATATATATATATATATATATATATATATATAACCATAACATTATCAATTACTTAAAAATATATGTAGATAGATTCATAATTTGTTTTCGATTCATAGAATAATAAGGGGTGATGAATTGTACGAGGAAAAATAATAATTAAATTGATTAAAAAAAACCAATGTAAATTTATAAAAGTTAGAGAGGCCAAACTTATAACTTATGAAAAATGATTTATTAAATTAAAATAACTATTAAATTTGTATTACTTTCATTGATTTGCTCAATAAAGATATAAAATGGGGATAACACATTTACTAAATTCAGTTGACTATTAAATTTGAATACTCAAAAATGTAACTTTCATTGATTTGCTTAAAAAATATATAAGATGTGGATCGAACCCACGCCAAATAGCAAATTCAATTAACTATTAAATTTGAAGGCTCAAAAATGTAACTTTCATTGATTTGCTTAAAAAATATATAAGATGATGATCGAACCCACGCCAAATAGCAAAATAAGCCGATAGACGAGCGCCTTAGCCAGCTGACCAAACAAAAATTTACTTTATTTTTATTAAAATTCGGGCCCTATTTTTTTCGGGGTTCTATGCGGCTGCACACTTTGCACACCCTTAGGACTGACCCTGAAAATAAGTGTCGTTTTTACCGTCCCACTTTTGGAAAGGTTAGGAGGGGAAAACAAAAACAAAAAACTTAAATCCTTCAATTCCATTTCATTCTCATCTAATTCAAGAACACACGTGATTATATATATATATATATATATATATATATATATATATATTGTTTTTTCATTTCCTCTCATTCCATCCATTTTCTTTCCTTCCATTTCATTCCTTTAATTAAAAAACTTGAGAACAAGGCATTAAGCCTAGTTGTTTATTTAAGGTGAAAAATATTATGGTTCCCATTTATTTGAATTTGTTAGTTTATGAATCTATAAAGTTTAAAAATTTTCAATATGCATTTCATCAACATGGATGAGAAAAAAGAGCCTAAAGAAGCATCTGAAAATATCTATTATGCATTAATGTAATGATTTTTTCAACAAAATATTGTTTTTAACAAAAAAAAATACAAAATTTAAAAAACATTATAATCAAATCAGAAAAATATGTTAAAGTTTAGTGTGTTTAATAAGAAAAAAAACCCATTAATCAGCTGAACCAATAGATCACAAAAATAGTAGTGATGATAATTTTTTTTTCTTTCAAATTAATGACTTTAGTGAAACAATTCACTAAATAAAATATAAATCCTTAATTGTTGTTCAACAACAATATAATATATGGTTTTTTTTTTTTTTTTTTTTTTTTTTTTTTTTGTCATAACGAAGTACATTGTCATTTGGTGTCATATTCCCCTTTGGTGTTATAGGAAAAGAAAGAAGTAAAGTCCACATCACCGTAATTTCGCCTGCTCAGCCGAACAGGGTTTAACCACCGTTGTTGAGATTACTGGTTGACCTCCGCAAGAAAAAGCATGCTTCTCTCGCCGGCGCCGCCACCATCATCGATCACTAAACCACCGATGCTTCTCCTTTCACCACGTCCAACTTTCCTGTACACCACCACTTCCGCCTCCAAAATCCCAACTCTTCGTCAGCCATGGAAACCATTACCCATCCTTTCGCATTTCCCCACTTCACGAAAACCCCCACAGAAATTACTCCCAACTGTACCCTATTTTCCCATCGTTTCTGTAGGTAGCGGTGGTGGTTCCAGTGGCGGCGGCGGTTTAAGTAATTGGTGGGGGCGGTGGTCTGGTGACGGTGATGACGATGATAACAACGAAAATGAAAACGAAGATGAAAATTCACATATAAAGCGTGTTCTCTTCTATGTATTACTCTCTTCACTATGCTTCGCTTTCCTCTTTCAATCCGCTTCTCGAGCATACGCAATTGCTTCCGGGACTGAAAACAGTACTACCGATGAAGAAGTTATCTGGGAAGTGAAAGGAGGTAAACGAACAAAGCTCATTCCAGACCATTTCAGAGACGTGTTTGTTGTTCCGCCTGTAACATGGGCTTGGTGGCCATCGCCATCATCTTCAAAAGCTTCATCGACATTGTCCTTTGGAGACATAATTCCGAATATGTGGGTTCAATGCAGGGAGCTCTTCATGCGTTTGATGCTCCCTGAAGGGTTTCCAAACAGTGTTACTAGCGATTACTTGGAGTATTCTCTCTGGAGAGGCGTTCAGGGAATCGCCGCTCAAGTTAGTGGTGTTCTAGCCACACAAGTAAGTTTAATTTATTGGGTTTCCCTTATTGATTCTTTAAGCTTCCATCAATTTTGGATTAGGGTTTGTTTACCTAGATGATGATTGTCTCTTGTAGTCGTTGTTATACGCTGTTGGATTGGGGAAAGGGGCGATTCCAACTGCTGCAGCTGTAAATTGGGTGCTCAAAGATGGAATTGGATACCTAAGCAAAATCTTTTTGTCAAAATTTGGGCGACATTTTGATGTGAATCCAAAGGGATGGAGATTGTTTGCTGATTTCATGGAAAACGCTGCTTTTGGTATGGAAATCTTGACTCCTGCTTTCCCTCATCTTTTTGTCTCCATTGGTGCTGCTGCTGGAGCAGGGAGATCTGCAGCTGCACTTATTCAGGTATTTTCTTGAATTCATCAAAAACTTTCAGCTGATTTGTTCTTTATAGAAAAGATTATTTTATGAAGTTGAATTCTTTACATGATAGGCTGCTACAAGGAGCTGTTTCTATGCAGGATTTGCTGCTCAAAGGAACTTTGCTGAGGTAATTTCCAATTACATATTGATAAGAGAAAAAGGAACTTGATTAATGTTTGTCAATATGATTATATGAATCTCTATATGATGATTTTGAATATAATTATGAAAGGTAATAGCAAAGGGAGAAGCTCAGGGAATGGTGAGCAAATCTATTGGAATAATGCTTGGAATTGCATTAGCAAATTGCATACAATCTTCAACGCCTTTGGCTCTTGCTACTTTTGCTGTAGTAACTGGGGTCCACATGTTCTGCAATCTCAAATCTTATCAATCCATTCAACTAAGGACTTTGAATCCTTATCGAGCAAGTACTATTTTTTTTCCATATTCTTTTTAATCTTTTCAACTTTTTTCTTTATATAATTCAAGTTCCTTTACACGATAAGTAAAAAGGGTATGCAAGAAATTACACTTTACTTCTTTTTATTTCTCCATTATAGCATTCAAGAAAGTTACCCCTTTTATGCTAAATTTTTGTTTTTGTGACTAATATGAAGGCTTGGTTTTTGGTGAATATCTGCTAAGTGGTCTTATTCCTTCGGTCAAAGAAGTCAATGATGAAGAACCCTTTTTCCCTGCTTTCCCACTTCTCAGTTTGAAGCCAGCTGGCAAAGTAAGTCAAACTTTAAATGTCTTTTGTTTTTACTTTTTATAACATATATAAGTTTCTTACTTTCTTAATTACTGAATATCTTTTGGTTTTCAAACTATAGAAGTGTAAGATATAGTATAAGTTTTCATATATTCTTAGTGTCACTTTTGTAGTTTCATGAATTAGGTATGGTTTGATGTGTACACAATAATATTTCTCATATCTTTTTCCTCTTAATTTGGTCCCGTATTTGTGATTTTTCATAAAAATTGTTGCATAAATAAGAATTTATGGAAAACTTGTTTGCATATATCGTCTGAAAAAACACTTTGTTTCAAAAATTGGAAAAAAAAAACCGAAATTTGTTGCATAAATTCATACTTAACTCTCTTATTAAGTAACAAAAGATAAACGATTTGATTTCTATCTAGAAAAAAAGGCTTCTACAAAACTAAATTGAAGTTAGGAAAGTCTACTAAATAATAAGTGAAATATACAGAAAAACCACTATTTTTTCACCATTTTTATACATCTGTTTGGTTAATGAAATCCACCCAACTTTGACCTTCTATAGAAGGTTAAAATGGTCACAATAGAAAAAGAGGTCAAAGTTGAGTAGCTTTGGACCTTTAGTGGATCTCTTTGGACTAAAATTTAACATTAAATATTCCACTAAAGCCACTGAACTTTGACAACTTTTTATTGTGACCACTTGAATCAAAGTGATGGACATAGAAAAAAGACAAAATCGCAAAAATGGTCCCTGTGGTTTGTTGAAAGTTGTCACTTTGGTCCAAAAAGTTTTGTTGTGAGTTTGGACCAATTTGTTTTGAATTTTTTAAAATGACAAGTTTGCCTTTGTATTTTCATTTTCCATCTAGTTTATTTAGTCTAACAATTTTCTAAATTAAAAAAAGAAAAGAATCACCCCACTCCCTGGCCCCCTACCTAATTACTCTTAATAACAAAAAAATGAAAATACCAAGGGCAAATCCGTCATTATAAAAAGTTTCAAAGTTTTTCGACTAAACTCGCAACAATATCAAATTTTCGGACCAGTAGTGCTACTCCAAAACTTTTTGGACCAAAGTGACAATTTTCGACAAACCACAGGGACCATTTTTGCAATTTTGTTTTTGTCTAGAAAAAATGTCAAACTTGGGTTTATGGTTTAGGATCAAACTGTAAAAATGTCCAAAATTAGTGGCTTTTTTGTATATATATTCCGAAATATTAAATGATTTGTTTTGATTTTGTTGCGAGTTCGTACCAATTTGTTTTGAATTTTCTTAAAATGACAAATTTGCCCTTTGTATTTTCATTTTCCATCTAGTTTATTTAGTTTAACAATAAGGGCAAATCCATCATTATAAAAAGTTTCAAAAAATTTCGACTAAACTCGCAACAAAATGAAATTTTCGGACCGGTAGTGCTACTCCAAAACTTTTTGGACCAAAGTGGTAATTTTCGACAAACTACAGGGACCATTTTGCAGTTTTGTTTTTGTCTAGAATAAATGTCAAAGTCAAACTTGGGTTTAGGGTCAAACCGTAAAAATGGCCAAAATATAGGGGGTTTTACGTAAATATTAAATGATTTGTTTTGATTTTGTGTGATTAGGCGGAAGAGCATAGAGTACTGTCAACAGAAGCTAAAGATGCTGCTGCTACAATCGAGCAACGTCTAATGCTCGGATCAAAGCTCTCAGATATTGTGAAAAACAGAGCAGATGCACATTCATTGCTTCACTTGTATACAAACCAAGGCTACATTTTGACTCACCATCATGGCAAATTTTGTGTAAGTAAATAAATTCCAATCTTGACAAAATTACATAAATGGTCCCCCTGTGGTTTGCCAAAAGTCACAAACTCAGTCCCTGCTAATTTTTTATGACGCAAATGGTTCTTGTGGTTTGCAAAACTTGAATGGAAGGTTGTTTTTACTCCACAATGTCCATTTTCATCTGTTAGGTCGCATGCCCAGCATGCGAGGGTATTTTGGTCTTTTTAGGTTTAACAGGGATTGAATTCGTGAGATTTGGTAAAGGACAGGGACCATTTATGTAGTTTTGTCATTTTTTTTGTTAGGGTTATGGATGAAATTGGTCCTCCAACTATTGTCCTTGTACTCATTTAGTCAATAAACTTCCTTCTTTTTGGAAGCTTAAGGCCTAAGGTTGCTCAATTTGTTTTTTTATTTTTACAATTTAGCCCCAAGTTTTGATTGTTATTATGAATTTGGTCTAAGCTTTCTTTGCAAATTTTGATTTCCTAAATTTTTTTAAATTTTACAAATTTCTATTAATGTTTCAAATAAAAATTTGTATTGTTTTGATTTTTTTATTACTTAGTTTTTTCAAGTTTTTTTTTTTTTTTACTACATTTTACACATATTTACATGTTTTTTTCCAATATTTTTATACGTTTATACATGTTTTTACATTGTACAACTTTGTTTTTACTTCGTTTTCACTCATTTTTATGCTTTTCCATATATAGTGTAAAAATAAATTTATAATGAGATTAATTAGAAGATATATTATAATGTATATGCTAATTGTAAAAAATACAACATAATTGCTCTTTTTTGCCTACCCATTCAACAAAACAAAATATATAAAAATGTGTAAAACAAAGTGGTAAAAAAAACAAAAAAATTTTATTCCGAAAATTAAAGTCAAAGTTGTCAAAAACAAAACAAAAAAATCATTAAAAAAAACAAAATTTGTTAAAAAGGTGTGACCAAATTTGTCATAAAACTTAAAAACTTGGGGCAAATTTGTAAAAAAAGTTGGTAACTTATGCAAAGTTAATTGGAAGACCAATTTTAACCTTAACCCTTTTTATAATTGTTATAAATTATAATAACACCTCTATCGATTTAACCTTTAAACAATTAAGTTTTCTTTTATTTATATAATAATAATGTGGTGGCTAAACAAATAGAAAACAATAGTTCAGTGGGTGAATGGATAAATTGGTATAAAATGGAAAATCTATCCAACTATAACAATGTCATCCGAATATATATATAATATATATATATATATATATATATAATGATGAAATATTGAATGTAGGTGATACTGAAAGATATATGTACGCCACAAGATATGCTAAAGTCAATGTTCCATGTGAGTTACCTCTACTGGTTGGAGAAAAACGTTGGTTTGAAATCTATAAGCACCAATGACGATTGTACACCTGGCGGATTGCTACAAATATCTTTAGAATATGTAGAAAGAGAATTCAATCATGCTAAACATGATGGGGAAGTTGCGGGTTGGGTAACCGATAGCCTTGTAGCTAGGCCTTTACCTCATAGAATTCGTGTAGATTCTTGATTCTTGATTCAATGTCTTCTAATAACGTATAGAAAAAAAAAAGATAGTTGTTGAAAAATGTGTAGAGGATTTGAAGAAAAAGATTGTAGAGGGATTGTGCAAGTTGAAACGATTAATCACATTGTGTTATTTGCTAGGCAGATTATAACATGTTTTACTGTGTTTGTGTTTGACTTGCAATCTGACATGATTACCCTTTTTGTTATCCAAAAAAATGGTACAAAGTTTGTACTCTTGTCCGTGCAAAAAACATGAAGACCTTTATCTTTATTATGAAAATAGCCCTAAAAAGCTTGTCTGATTGTAGTCCAAAGGATGTACATGCTAACATTAGAACTATTTGAATGAGCAAAATTAAACGGAAATTGAGGTTAATCATTTACTTGGTTTGGTTCGGTTCACTTTAGGTTTCATACTTCTAAAAAAATGTTAAATATTTATGCCCAGTAAGATATTTCAAATTCTTCCATTACGAGGATTGAAATTTCTAATGATAAATCAGAAAATTCTAAGCTGTGTTTGTCTTGGTTCATGCTTGTTTTTAAAATCCCCATTAAGAATTCTTTACTCTTCTTTGGTTATTTTAGATGTGACATCAATCTTCTCCAAGGGTGTATTCGTGGGTAATATACTTTCCTCAACGGTTTGGGGCTTAGTGTTTGTAGTTGTAGTCAATGAACTTTAATTCAATGTTGATTGGGCTTCTTGTGGATGCTCTACCCTTATATGAGATATAAAACTAATCATTGTGTACTAGCCTTACATCTTACCGGGGTGATATTGTTATAGAATAAATAGAGATGCCAATTCTTTATGTTTTTACCTAAATAGGTTCAACATTATCAAGGGTGAAGGTTAATCAAAAAATTAGGTTAGGTTGAGGGCTGAATTGCATGTGAAGTTAGATTTGAAATTTTGGCAAATGAGTACGAAACTAAACTCCTTTTTCATGTAACATCCAGTTTCAGGATGTTTCTAATTTCAAGATAGTGAATCGTAATTTGATCAAGTAAATGTTTTGGGCTTCAAGGGAATAAAGTTTAGACATTATTAGATGTTGATAATGTTGGTTAAGTGTTATAAGCCCTTGGAAGTGTGAATTGAAGCGAATGAGTAAAATGGGAAAAAGTGATATTTCAGACTCTTTGCATGTATTATTAAATTAAGTTTGGTATTCACTAAGTCAGACATAATTAGATAGAATTGTGGGGCTTGTTAATACCTCTGCAGCCGCTCGTGTATGCTAATCATATATAACATTGATTTCGATAGACAATCGAATTCTTGATTCTACCCTAAGCACACAACCAAACAGGGAACATGAAATAAGGCTAAATCAAACATTCGCAGACTATAAAATCTTAGTTATGTACAACTATGATGCATACACTAAGCAACTATAATAATAATGGCAATTACATATAGCATAACAAGTAATTCTCCTAGACTATCACACATCATACATTAGGCAATTATATCATGAAATTCCTTAAGATCCTTAGCCTACATACTAGCATGAAATTCTATCATATCAGCAATACACAAACAAATGTAGGTATTTGGGGAATCACTTTCCTTGGCTATGGCTGATTGTACACATCACATCCTTTTTGTCGGTTCTTTTAGAGTTAATTTTTTTTGAAAACATTTCGTAGATCCATGGTTTGAGTCTGGAACCACATAAGTGTTCACCCAATTCACTCAAACCAGGGCTCTGATACCAATTTATAACATCCCAAAATCATGACAATAATTTTTATTTTTCAAACCATTCCAAAATCCATATGTTACATAAAAACATAATTCCTCAAAACCATAAACATGAATCAGTGTATCCCAAAATCATAAATCATATAAAAATCCAGGATGATGTGCACAATCAAGCCTTTGCCTTGCGCATGTCCCCCTGAAGTACCTAAAAGCAAAACATCAAACTATAAGCCAAAGCATAGTAAGCTCCCCCAAAGTACCCCACACAACATCATAATACAATGCACGCAACTAGGCCCACAACTGTTGAATCATATAAGTGACCCTCTTGAACTTAGTCTACCGCAGCTCTCCTAGATCCGCAGTCAACACTATTCAGCAACTCCATCCGAAGTCTTCATTATCCGCAGTTCACTATTTTGTTTTCTAGTTTAGCTCTTTATCTGCTTTGATTAGAATACTCTCTTTTGTCCAGTATGCCTTGCATGGCTACGCATAGATAGTTGAACAAGTGTAATATTTGAGTCTCTATATATAGAGCTCAATCTTTCTTTACAAAATACATCTCTGATAACACTTCGCATCTTGAATCTCATATCTTGTGTTATTACTCTCTTCTCCTTCTTACACTCAAAGTTCACTAAAATATAACTGATTATTATCTCCCTTCGGAGCAAGTCATTCTTGACTTAATCACTAAGATTGATCTCACTTACTAACTTGGTCTGATTGCATTCCTTGTTATGAATCAACTTATGTGTATACTTGATATAATATCTGCTGTCATTTATATTTCCTTACATTTCCGCAACTAACTCTCTAATTATCTAACTCTACCTTATTATTATTGTTGAGCTTTTATATCCTTTGAGATAAACTATTCCGCAACTATACTTGTTCTAATGTTTGTTCAAGTGTGTCTCAAGTTTTTCTCTCAACAACAACACTAGGCTGGACCGCCACCGAGCCTTAAGCTACAAGTTAGACCGCTCCCGAGCATACAACATAAGCTAGACCGCTCCCTTGGGCCTACAATACCAATTGGACCACCCAAATACCTTCACCTGTACAACACACATGGATCAATCCTCAATCTACTACTCAAAATACCCCAATGACCTAAAGTCAAACTTGGTCAAAGTCAGCGATCAACGGTCAAAAGTCAAAAGTCAACTTCTAGCTGGTCGCCACGCCATGGCCATCCTTGGTCACACCGGGGCTGCTATACGACAAGGCAGATGGGTTTCTACGCAGCCACCACGCTGTGGAAATCTAAGGCCACACCGTGGGGACTGGTCTGGACAGCTTAATCCATTAAGCCATTTTCCTACAAAATTCAAGAGCTCCAAAGACCAGATCTGTTCCTTCCCATGGTCTTGATGGATAAAGTTTCCAACTTTATCCATTATGACTGTGACATCCCCAAATTCACGGTCATACTTTATCCATTATGACTGTGACATCCCCAAATTCACGGTCATTTTAAAATTTTTATTTATGCTTATTTAAAAAATCAGAGTATCATTTTTGAAAGTAGTATTGCGGAATTTGTTCCCAGATAACATGATAATGATGTTATCAAAGCATTTCTGAAGAAATGTATTTTTAGTTAAAACATCGGGATGTCATCGTCAATATAGAAACATAAGCATAAACAGACCTTACATTCATTTACACTAATGATTTACATCTCCTTTAATCTCTCAGTGTAATGTATCTTCGCATCGATATCTGTGATTCAAATAAACTGAGTGGGTCAAGTTGCGAAACCTGGTGAGTACATAGGGATTTCAATCCCACAATGTTATATATATATATATATATATATATATATATATATATATATATATATATATATATATATATATATTTGAACTCGCAATATACAATTTCACCTCATATAAGAAATTTTACCCCACCCCGTCGATCCTCACAACGACACGATCCATACTCCCGGATCTAAAATTAACAGCTTTACCTAATCCATACTCTCGGATCTGGTTTGTCTAATCCATGCTCTCAGATCAATGACAAATGATTATGCCCACTCCATACTCTCGGACTAGGGACGAATGACTATGTCTAATCCATGCTCTCGGATCAATGATAAATTTTAAAGTTCTATCCTCCGTGTACATCTCACTTGTACTCATAAGAAGATACTACCCAATATTCCTCTTAATTAATTTAGGTTTACTTTGTATCCTAAATCATCATTTATTGTCAGATATGCTCTTAATACATATTTCAGGCATTATCAGATATTTCACACATAAACATATATTTAATACTTTAATTAATACTTGTATTAAAATCATGTTCATGAAAGGGACTATGCACTCACTTGTTAAAGTGATGACTCAAAATTCGGGCAACGCTTCGCTTTTAACAATCGTCTTTTCCTTCGACGAAACCTAGTATCATTATTACTAGATTTTAGTCTAATATTCATTGCAACTAATTATTAGTCTAGATTCATCATTAACTCAAAGTCCACTTCATGATCTATCAAGTAAGGATCAGCCAGGCAGGACAGTTAGAGGCATGACCATTTCGGCATATAGCGTTTCTGAAATCCAACAACCAAGCCCAACGTGACCATTCTAGACACCTCTCCCGTAAGTAGTTCAATCAGTATAACGACTTTGAATCACTGATAAATCTTGTTTATAGGTTCATAATAACGATAATGAACTTAAAGATAAGTTATACTTAAAGTAGGGTAAGCATAACTTACTTACAAAGGGGTTTAGCGAGGAACCAGACTCTGTGCAGGCAGAACTTCTGAGCCGAAAGCTCTTCTTCTCGGAGCCTTCTGGCGCTCCGGGACTCGCTACTAACTCCTAAGAAGGACTAGAGAAAAGCCTTAAGGCTTTGGGGAGGTTTGGGAGAAAAGTTGAGAGAAGGTGTGAGGAAATGAGGTGATTTGCGCCTCTATTTATAGGCTAGAAATCAAGCAACACGGCGTGTTACTGAGCCTAACACTTTGTGTTGGGGTGCCAAGTGTCACCATCTGGTGGAAAGGCGTGGGGAAGAAGTAGTGACTCAGATTGCGCCACGTGTCACTCGCAGATTACTCCAAAAACTAATTATCTTCTAAAATTCGTAACTTTCGCATACGAGCTCCGTTTTTGACGTTCTTTATATCCACGCGTAGGTATCGACGGGATCTACAACTTTAGTTTAGAACCTATCGGCTAATTTTGACTTTATTTTTAAAGTTATGTTTTAACAGGCTTAGACAGTTAAAGTCCGTTAAAAAATCATAACTTTGTTATCCAACGTCTGTTTTCGTCTGTGTTTATATCGTTGAGCTCCTATTAATAAGATCTTCAATTCTCATTTAGGTTGTGTCGGCTAAGAATCGATCGATCTAAAATTCGATTTTTGGGCTGTGTACTGCTATGCAAAATCTTAGAAAAATCATAACT